ATTCGAACCCGCCACCCCAGGTGCATGTGGCTGGCGGCCTAGCCACTTGAGCCACAGGCACCAAGCCTATAGATTTTTAAAGTATTTTTTATCTTAACTCTTTTCCAACTAAACTTTGAAACTCCTGAATTCAAATTTTGATGGTAAGTAAATGTTACTCATGAATATTTATCAGTTAACTTGTTGAAGGAATTGTATAAAAATGAAAAAATACCAATCGAAATATTTTATTAGATAATAAATGTAGATTTATTTCTGAGGCAAATACAGCTGTCAATTACCTATTTTAAATTTAAATTTTACAAAAAATCTGGAAGTCAGTGTCATAAATAGTTTTGTTGCTTAGGCTGAGCAATAGGTTTTAACACTTTGTTGCATCTTAAAACAAGGCTTAGCCTTGTTCTGTTTCTTTGTTTCCAGATGGTCTCCCAGCTTGAAGCCCAAATATCTGAGCTTGTGGAACAGTTGGAACAGGAGTCTGGTTTATACCAGAAAGCTCTCCAGAGGGCCCAGAAAGCAGAGAACAAGTTGGAGACTCTTCAGGGTCAGCTAACATACCTGGAGGGAGAGCTGGTTTCTAGAGATGTTTTGCAAGACAACTCAAATACTGAGAAACAAAAAGTAATAATCTTGGGGACACGTCTATGGGTGGAAGCATCTGTTGCAGTATAAGATTTTACCTGGAAATGTTCTGAATTTTATAGCACTTAGATTGGTTAAGTTCGAACTCCTGAGCAAATTTCAAGGAACAATGGGCCTCTTCCTATAATCTGGAGTGTCCTTGATTCACATTAATTCATTTAAACTTAACAAGTATTTATTTATTTACTTACTAATTTTAATATGTAATTGGCTTTTTATTTTCATTTTTTTCAACAAGTATTTATTGAATGTGCCTTGTAGGTGGAGCCCTGAAGGTCTGAGGAGACAGATATTCAGATAATTTGCTGGTTTATAAGGTTATAAGTATTCTGTGTGTAATAGATGGGTTGAATTCATGAAGTGCTATAGGAACTTTAGGGTTAAGGGAAGATTTTACAGGGGAGGAGATGATTCACTTCATCTTTGCAGGATAAGTAGGTTCTAGAGGAGAGAAGAGGCAAGTACTGCAGAGGAAACGGTTTGAACAAAGGCATGAAATCTTGCCGGTGCACAGTGCATTCTGAGAATGCAGAGTGGGGAACCCCGCATGGCTGGAACACTGCATTCTTTGTGGGTCTGTAAGAGAGAAGACTGGAATGGTGTGGATTAGGAAGATGAAACCTTCTTCACTCTGTGGGGTGTGATGAGTGACCGTGAGCATCGCAGTATTTTGGGAAGATATGCAATGTCTCTGTGGAGCTGAGGTGGCAGGATGCAGAGGCTCAGAAGTGATGGTGCCGCCGACAGCCTGTTGGGAGAGGAGAGTCCAGGGAGAAGAGAAGGCTCCTCACTGAGGATCCGAGTGTGGGGAGAGCATCGGTGGCCTCCCGGAGGCAGTGTTGGAGGCATGGTAGCGAATAGAAGCCAGTTTGCTTTGGATTGAGAGATGACTAGAAAGGAACGGGGGCGAGGAGAGGGCCCACAAATTATGCTGTGAAGTCTGGTGACCAAAGAGAAAAGAGGCAGAAAGCATAGCTGTAAAAAACAGGATTAAAGCAAGGGAGGTAAGTGTTTGTGGATTGGGAGGGAGGGTGGGAAAGGAAAGGGAAGAAAAGGGATCAACAGCTCAGGTACAGAATTTGGCATGAAAAATATTCTTAGGTCAAAATATCTGAAGAGTTTCTGAAGAAACTCATTCATTTTCATTTTTCTGTACTTAAAAAAAAACCGAGGAAGCCCCAGACCTACCTCAAGGTTGGCTATGCAAAGACACACAAAAAGGTGCCCATGGAAAATCATTTAATGGAGAGAGAGGTAGACCCAGGCATGATCAGCACAATTAGTGCCATGATGGAGACGGGTATGAAATCCAACAGGAATTTGGAAAAAGGAGCAATTACTTCTTTCCTATTCCCTAATGAGGAAAGAGCCATTTTCGCAAAAGAGGTGATATTTGAAAGGAGCCTTACACAATGAGTAGGAATTTGTCAGGTGGAGGAGGTGGGAAGGAATTCAAGCTAGCAGGAGCAGCAGGAACCAAGAAGGAAGGGAAGATGGTTAGGAAACCAATGAGATGCAGGGAGACTGGAGCTGGAGGTGGCCTGGTGAGGCCAGAGGCGAGAGGTGGCCTGGGGGCAGGTGGGCACAATAGACATAGGTCTAGAATAACTACCAAGGCTTCATCCTGTAGGAAATGGGAAGACATAGAAGGTTTTTGAGTAAAATAAGGGTTCCTGTCAAGGCAGACTGGCTCAGAGGGTCTAGAGATGAAAGCAGAGAGCCCAGTCAGGGGATTCTTAGAATATTCTAGATCAGAAGATAATAGATGTCTGGACCGAGGAGTGGTTCTGTGACTGAAGACAGGAGATAGACTTGGGAAATTTGGGAGGCCAAAGCGAGTTTTTTCTACATCTAAAATGTTGAAATATTCTATATCTAATTAGTTGAAATTTTGATTTTGAAAAGAAATATTATACCTGTGGATAGTACTGTAATCAGAAGCAGTCTAACTGCCTGTTGCACTTCAATGGTCCTTCAACACCTGCATATACACTGGAACTTCTGTAAGGTGACCGCCCAAGAGACTGTAACAAACTGGTCAATATATAGAGGTGTTAACATAAGGGACTAGGCCTACTGTACTGATATGTACATGTGGTGCATGTCTGGTCTATGAAAATTAGTTTAACCTAAGGAGATGGTCAATGTAGGGAGGTGGTCGACTATGGAGGTCCTGCTGTAGTTAAGACTGAAATGGTCTCTCCCCAAATTCACCCCTCTCTTGCTTCAGTAATGGTGGTAATCTGGCTCCATTTGCCCAAGCCATCTTCAATGCTTCCCTCTTTTTAATTAATGCCTAAGCCGCAATTCTGTCTCCTTCCCAGCTCTCCAACACCTCCCCCCTCTCTCTCTGTCCAGTAGCCGTGCTTTGCTCTGAGTGTCATGTTCATGCACCCGGACTGGGGAACAACCGTCCAACCAAGTGCTCTGCTCTGGTCTCCACACCTTCCAATTTGCTCTCTCCACTGCTGTCCCAGAGCTTTTAATAAAATGCACACTATCATCTTCCTCCATCTTAAGACTGGTCAGTGGCTTTCTGGGGCCTTCAAGATCAGGTACAGATTCCTTCTTTTCTCCTGGCCTTAAATTTCCTGAGCTGGTCAGTGGCCCTCTCCATCTCCCCTCTCCTCTGCAATCTCTCCTGCCAACAGGGGCAAACGCAGAGGCCTTCTGGGACTCGTAGGGCTCTGGTGGGTCTCTGGAGAGTGACTGCTGAACCTAAAGACATCCACAGTCAAGTTTGTAACAACAGTCATCTGGTCTCCTCACCTCCCTCCCATATTGCCCACAGCTAGTGTTCAGAGAATGTTCTCTTCACCTTCTTCACCTGCAACCACTGTCTCTTCAAGGTTCAGCTCAACTATCACTGCCTCTGGCCGCCTTCCCTAAGAGATTTCTTTCTGCTTCCTCAGGCTCCCCGAATGCCATGGACCTGCCTCTCTTACGGCACTTTGAGCCCTTTCTTGGATTGCTGTAACATTTTCTTCTCTAAATATTCCAGGTTTTTTTGAGGCCAGGGAAAAAATTTTTTTCTGTGTTTTTCCAGGGCCTAGAGAAGGACTCAATAAACATTCTTTGAATTGTAGGAGAAATAAATCAAAGGCAAAAAATTCAGATGATTGATTCTCTTCCTTTCCTTCAGTATAAATATATTGTTAATTTTAATTGGAATTACGCCTAAATGACCCTCAGTAATGAAAGAATTATGTAAGCTAGTTCTGTCCATGGTGGATTTTTGTAGCTCACCACATCCTAGTAGGGACTGTATCATGTTAAATTGAAAAGCAAAGTTGTACAGAGCTTAAATGCTAAAGGAAGATCATCCGGCTGACACACAAGAGAGTAGAATGCATAGTTTCTTATTTAAACTATGAACTGGGATGCAAATGAACAAAATAGACAGTAATCTTTCCCTTGTATGGAATTAAAGTTTGGAGTAACCTTGATCTTTGGAGGGATAGCCAAGATCCTTGAAAAGGGTTCTGCTTCCTGTGTGGGGTCTTGGCTTGGCCTTGTCTTAATCTCTTTGTCTGTTGTAACCCTTGCATGAATGGGTCATATGTAGAAATCAAAGAAGAGGCTTTTATTCCTTCACATAAAAGGTACTGATTCTATTTTATGCAGAACACAAGCAATAGCAGTCAGGCCACTTTTATACACACAGATTAGAAATTAATTTTCCGAGAGAAAGAGCTGATATAGCATTAAGAAGTGATGACCTGATGAGGCAGAGACAAAAGCAACTTAGGGTTTCCTAGCACAAGACAGCAAGTGATATTTGCAGTGACTGTGACTTACAGAGAAGAGATCGAATTATATTCATATGTATACCATTTAACACAATTGGAAAGTATACACTTACAAATAATTTTATCCTGATGATTAAAAAATAGTTTGGGGCTTTAAGCTGGTATGCTTCATTCAGTTAGCAGGAAATCATATTTACTTAAACACTTAGTTGCCTGCAAATGCCAGATAAATTAGAAGTTATTGCAATCAGGATATAATATCAAAGATAGAATGCAAATCATAAAATTATAATGTAGAAAGCTCATCAACTGATTTGCTTATCCAACCAGCACTAAGTAAGCATCATTCTACGTCTGGGCATGGCCAGGTAAACCACAGAAATCAAGTGGAGGAAGGTTCTTAAATAGTCTTGTAACTTGAACCTGTTAAAATGCAAACTTTGATTCTTTATAAGCTCTATTTTATACTAGGATGCTGCTTATTTACCTTTGTTCATTAAACACTTTAAAAGAGATTTTCTAAAACCTTGTAAGTAAAAAAATAATTGAACCAAGATGTTCGAATTTTGTGTGTATAGAGAGCTTGGAGTTGCAGTGATCTGTAGAACCTAAGAAGAGCTAAGTGGCAACTGGATAAGTTGCCACTTTCCACCTTCAAGGTCAGTTAGGTGGGAAAATTTCCCATGGAAAGTGCATGGGTGGGTGTCAGAGGTTAGATTAGCCTGCAAGGGACACTGTCCCAGCAGTATATTGCCAAAGTAGAGACACAAGGGTAGAAATCAGGACCATAGCCAAATTTGTCATATGGCAGGGTCAGAAAAAGTACATAATTGTTTTTTTCTTTTTTTACAGTTTTGGGCTGGGCCGGGCTTGAACCCACCACCTCTGGTATATGGGGCCCGCGCCCTCCTCCTTTGAGCCACCGGCACCGCCCAAAAGTGCATAATGTTAAGGTTGAAACTCAAGGTTCCTGAACAGGAATGTCAAGAGTCCTTTAAGAAGGAGAGGGCTGGAAACTGGCAGGGTGATTCAAAAATTCATTACCAATATCAGGGTCAAAGTCCAGGCTCCATTCTGGGTTTCAAGAGAACTACCTGTAAGCTTGGGAGAAAGAGAAGGATGCTGTGAGATCACCCACTAACTTTTACCGTTGTGTCCTTTTTATTTTTGTTCTTGGGTTTAGTATCTTAAATTTCTGGATCAGCTTTCAGAAAAAATGAAATTGGACCAGATGGCTGCTGAACTTGGCTTTGACATGCGCCTGGATGTGGTTTTAGCTCGCACAGAACAGCTGGTCCGCCTTGAGAGCAAAGCAGTCATTGAAAGCAAGACCACTGCCTACAATCTGCAGAGAAAGGTAGGGGATATTAACACTTGCTAGTGTTTAGAGAAGGAATTTCTGAAAAACCCAAACATTGAAAAAAATAATTTGCCACCACCATATTTACCAGAGTGGCTAGGAAATGTATTATAAAAATATGTACTTAGGATTTTGAGGCTCAATTTCAAGTTCGAAGAGTAGGTAAGTGTATCTGTCGCCTAAGGTCATGCTTCACTGTGAGTAATAAAGATCCTAAATAACAGTGGCTTAAACAAAGGAGAAGCCTTTTTTTTTTCCTCTTCCTACACAAATTCCTGGAGATAGGCAGCTAAAGGCTCCTGTGATGCTCTGCTGGGCTCCTGCTCTGTAAAGTCTTTAAGGAACGGGGCTCATTTCAGCTCATTCATTTCTGATCCCTAGGGGGGCCCTTATCTTCATGGTTCAAAATAGTGCCTAGAACCATTATATCTGCTTCTAGGAGGAAGAGAAGAAAGGGATGGGGAAGAGGGATGCAAAAGAACATACAGGAGGTGTCTTTTGAAAAAGGCACCCAGAATTTGCTACAAGAACCTTATATCCCATGGCTAGAATATGTTCTGATGGTCAAAACTTGCAGCAAGGGAGGTTTGCATATGTAGCCTTTATTCTGGGTAGCCATTTACCTACCTAAAAAAGTCCCAGTTTCTATTACTTTGGAAGAAGAGCACTAGGGAGACATCTAGCCATCGCTGCCTTTATAAGCTCCATCGCACCAGAAAGTAGAGAGAGAAGGGTTTACTTTGCATTCACTCAAAGAAAGAGTTAGAAAGAGTTTAGAGTAAATCAATGAATGAATAGATGAAAGGGATAAAATGTGATTATTACTCATGTAATTATTGGTATTGGGGAAAGAAACAGGAAAACACAGATGTTGTCTTACAATAGTTCTTAGGAGAAAATTCTGTGGTAGAATTCTCGTATAGAGGCTGTGTAATGAGTCACATCTGGGTTCCCAATTAGGCTCCACCAAGCTGTGTGACCTTGGACAAATTATATACCTCTCTGTCTCTATTTCCTCATATTTAAGATGAGGGTGATGTCTATGCCAAGCAGTTGTTAGTTTTTAATAACGTTTTTGAACTCTTGGCTCATAGGAGATGCTTTATTCCCATTTGGCCTCTTCTACATGGACCATATCTTGAGAAATATTTTATAAAAGACAGCAGACCAGCCCTATCTATTCCCATCAGAGACATTAAATTGAGCCACCACTCTTTCCAATGTTCTCCTCAATAATTGATCCATTTTTCTCAATATCCAAAGCCATTCTTTCCTAAGAATTACATAATTATTAAAATTACCAGTGTCTAGAACTTACCAGTATACATTTGCAAGGGAGTGGAATTTGCCATGAAGAAGCTTGAGAAAGGGAGTTTGGTTAGGAAAATATTAAAAGCGATCTGGGCATGGACGCAGCTGTCAGTGTTCAGCAAGATACTTAAAGCAGCACTTCAATGAGTTCTAACATCTCCCAAATGCAGACCAGATAACCAGGGAGAATAGGACGGTCTTCAGCTGGAACATTTAGTAATTCTAAACGATCTTAATATTTATAACAGATGACAGCGGTTTCTGTGCTTAATATTCCACTCACTAGTTGTGACATGTGGAACCCAGAAAGAGTTTTTTCCCCTCTTATATCCATAGTCATTTTCTAAAACTCACTCTAATTTCCCTCATCAAGTGTGATTACCAATGATAAGTGATGTTTGAGGACCTGTTCCCTGATTGTTGTTGGTTCTTATCGGCCAGGCAGGTAACAAAGGCATCAGTGAACCTTCTTGAAGTCTCTTTTACTTCTAAGATTTTAGATGTCTAAATAAAACTTTCTTAAAAATCTCATAATAGGGCTATGTACATTGGATTCTTACTCTTCCATTCTTGTGATACTTTGCTAAGAAGAACATTTTCCAGCTCCATCCACGTGAACATGAAGGACGTCAAGTGTCCATCTTTCTTTATGGCTGCATAGTATTCCATGGTGTACATATACCACAGTTGATTGATCCATTCATGGATTGATGGGCACTTGGGCTTCTTCCATGACCTGGCAATTATGAATTGGGCTGCAATAAACATTCTGATACAAATATTTTTGTTGTAATATGGTTTTGGTCTTCTGGATATATACCTAATAAAGGAATTGCAGGATCAAATGGCAGGTCTATTTTTAGTTCTCTAAGTGTTCTCCAGATGTCTTTCCAAAAGGAATGTATTAGTTTGCATTCCCGCCAGCAGTATAGAAGCTTTCATATGAAAGCTATAACCTAATTATAGCCTAAGAACATGGGGAGGGGGGAGGAGGAGGGGAGGGTGGAATGGGTGGAGGGAGGATGATTGGAGGGATCACTTCTATGGTTTATCTTACAAGGGTACAAGTGAATCTTCTAAGAGTAGAATATAAACGGTCTTAACACAATAACTAAGAAAATGACATAAAGGCTATGTTAACCAGTTTGATGAAAATATTTCAAATTGTATATGAAAATACCACACTGTACCCCATGATTGCATTAATGTACACAGCTATCATTTAATAAAAAAAAAAGAAAAGAACTTAAAATCTTTTTGATATCTCCTACCTTAAAAATATATCAACTTTCACGTGGGGGGCCACTTAGTCCATTTCTAAGGGATTGACATTAGCAAGTCTAGATTATAATGCTAATTGGCACCCTGTCTTGTTTCAGAAAACAACCATTCAGGTATTGTGGCCATTAGATGATGAGTGGATTTTATCTCTCTGTCTTATTATATTCTGCCCTTAATAAAGCCATTTTAACAGTTTAAAAGTAATTTCACATTTTTATTATTATGCACATAATGTTGGAGAGGCTCACATGTTGAAAGCTGACTCCTCTGCACATTGTCTGTGGCTCTTTTGTCTCAGACTTTGAAGCTACAAAATTAATTCCTGGAAAAGGTATGAATAAAAAAATGCGACCGGGACGAGAAATACAATGACCTTTTCTGAAGGTTTACGAATTAGTCTTATTGAAGTGTAGATAAAGGTCAACATTATCTGGGTAATTCACTTATATTTACTGACTGCTCAATTATTATTTTTGAAAAAATTTTCTGTTCATATCAAACCAGCTAAAGACTCAGAAAGAAAGACTGGAGAGCAGAGAACTGCACATGAACCTCCTCCGGCAGAAAATAGCCCAGCTGGAGGAGGAGAAGCAGGTGCGCACAGCCTTGGCCGTGGAGAGGGATGAGGCCCATCTCACCACCAGGAAGTTACAGAAACAGGTGGAGAGGCTGCAGAGGGAGCTGAAAGAATGTCGGGAGGTGAACACTGAGCTTAAAGCCAAACTGGCCGACACCAATGAGCTTAAGGCAAGTGCTCAGTTTTCATTTTTTGGTTGCTTTTTGCTACTTACCACCAAAGTTTATGCAGGAGAGTGGTGGCCTTGTAATGGGTAAACCAGAAAAAAGAAAGAAGAAAATGTCCGCCAGTTTTCTAGAAGTGTGGGGAAAATGCAAAAATCACACAAATCAGAATACACATCCATTTCATGTCGCTTCGATATTTGAAGGGAAGACATCATTGCTGGATAAAGTGTCAGTCAAAAGGGGGTGACGTTTAAGTAGAGAGAATAAAAACATTTCTGCAAAGTGTAGGTGACGATGTGGTATGATGGAGGGTTTATCACATAGGAATTTGCTTAGGAAGAAATGAGAAAAATGGTCACAAGTGCTTCCTGAGAGGAGTCAGGCGGTGCTCAAGCATCAGTGCTGCGCTCTGCAGGATTCATCGTTACCAAGTTCAGGGAAGGGGTCAAAAGACTGGGAAGTCGTACTTCCTGTATGCGAGGTGTTCCATTTCTAATGAATACAGAGATAAAAGAAAACTTAAGCAGAATTTAATAAAAACATTGCATGTCTAGCATGTGTGCCACTGGCAATAACATGTAACTTTATGTGCACATGCCATCCCCAGCTGGCATGCATATGTGTACTATGTATTGTGAATACAGTGGTTTTTATGAATAAGTCTGCTATCAATGTTTGTGTCTAAGTTTTTATATGCATTTCCATGTTTGTTGCAAAACCTTGGTTGAAAATCTTGATTCCTAGGTTATCCAAATCTCCATCTTTGAGAAGCAGGCAGTAAATTTACCTCTGCATTCTAGACCAATAAAAAGTAGACCTTTCTAGATGAACAATTAAATTTTAATTTGGCAGACAAACATAAGTATTCTTGAGATCACTTTTTTTTTTTGCAGTTTTTGGCTGGGACTGGGTTTGAACCCGCCACCTCCAGCATATGGGGCTGGTGCCTTACTCCTTTGAGCCACAGGCACTGCCCTGAGATTCCTTTTTGAAAGAAAAAATATTCCTTTTCAAACTCTCCTACCTGTGTTGAGTCAGAATAATTTTATGAGAATATTATTTACATATGTATAAAGTTAAAATTATATAGAAACTTATTAATCTTTGTTGTTGTGGTTGTTGAGACAGAGTCTTATTATGTTGCCCTCGGTAGAGGGCAGTGATGTCACAGCTCACAGCAACCTCTAACTCTTGGGCTCAAGTGATCCTCTTGCCTCAGTGTCCCAAGTAGCTGGGACTACAGGTGCCCACCACAACGCCTGGCTATTTTTTTGTTGTAGTTGTCATTGTTGTTTAGCAGGCCCAGACTGGGTTTGAACCTGCCTGCCTTGGTGTATGTGGCCAGCACCCTAACCACCGAGCTACAGGCACTGAACCGAAACTTATTAATCTTATTGCATTTTTTACTGTTATGAAATCCAAACCAATTTAGAAATAAAAAAACAAAAGATAAAAATGGAATTGAAAATTGTGACATTAATTCAGTATGATTCTGATTACCAAGGTCACCATTAATAAGAATATGTGATACCCACAGCTCACAGTACGGGTTCTTTTGAGCTTGGCATTCCTACGGTTTATTTTCTCTAAGGGTAGATAGAGCGATTATTGTACTGTTTGCTTTATTTTACTTACAGATTCTTATTCGTACATATGCTGTGACATAGTTAACCTTTCACTTTGCATCAACATATTATTTGTGTGTTAACTCTACCCTTGCTCTTTTCTCATTAGCTTAGGATAATTAAAGTTGTAATGCTCCCTGGCACGAAGCTCCCTTATTAACAAATGCAAATGCAAGCTCTGAATTACGTGGCAGAACTCCAGAGGATGCAGAGCCTCTAATAACCACATTCTACTCTCTACGTCTATGCACTCAACTTTTTTGGCTCCCACATATGAGCGAGCATATGGAATATTTTTCTGTACCTGACTTATTTCACTAAGCATAAAGACCATCAGTTTCATACATGTTGCTACAAATGAAAGGATTTCATTTTTTTTCAATGGCTGAGTAATACTCTGTTGTGTATATATACCGCATTTTCTTTATCCATTCATCAACTGATGGGCACTTTGTTGAGTCTGTATTTTGGCTCTTGTGAATAGTGGTGAAATAGACATGAGAGTGCAGATGTTTCTTTGCTATATTTATTTTCTTTCTTTTGCCTATGCACCGCCATGGGATTTCTGGGTTGGATGGTAGTTCTATTTTTAGTTTTTTGAGGCACCTCCATATTATTTTTCATAATAGCTGTGCTAATTTGCATCCCCACCAACAGTGTAGGAGGACTCTCCTTTCTGCACACCCTCGCCATCATCTGTCTTTTTGATAAGAGTCATTCTCACTAGAGTGAGATGATATCTCATTGTGGTTTTGATTTGCATTTCTCTGATAATAAGTGATGTTAAGAATTTTTTTCATATACCTATTGGCCATTTGTATGTCTTCTTTTTTTTTTTTTTT